AAACTTCTGCGAGGGATCATAAGGCACCATGAAAGCCTGACGCAGAAAAGCCATTAAAAGCTCCAAATGGCTGGTATTCTCCTTCAGGTTGCAAGTAAAATTATAACTCTGGGTCCTGGATACGTGAAGGAGCGCCTTCTTCCCTATGTGCCAGCCCGGCCCTTGAGATCAGAGGCAGAGGCCCTCCTCCAGGAACCCTCTTTGAAGGAAATCAGGAGGGCAGGAACTCAAAGAAGGGCCTTTTCAGCAGTGGCATCCCAACTATGGAATTCGCTTCCCAGGGAGGTTCGCCTGGCACCGTTGCTCTATTCCTTTCGGCATCACCTGGCACCGTTGCTCTATTCCTTACGTCTGTATATGCCCGACCGCCCTTTGAGATCTGCGGGAGAGTCCCTTCTCCGGGAACCCTCCATGAAAGAAATTAGGAGAGTAAGTACCCGGAGGAGGGCTTTCTCTGCAGTGGCGCCCAACCTATGGAATTCACTCCCCAAAGAGGTCCGCCTGGCACCGTCGTTACTGGTTTTTTGGCGCCAGGTAAAGACCTTTTTTATTTAAACATCATTTCAATTGTTAAAACATATGATCTGGCCAGGGCAACTTCTTCTTCCTTCTCTTTCTCCTCCTATATTTTTATTTTATACTGATAATTTTAATTTTATATTTGTAAATCAATGTATTTTTTTGTATTTTTGTATTTAATGGTAATTTATTATGTACTATTGTATTTCAATGTATTTTATCATGTTGTAAGCCGCCCCGAGGTTTCGGCGAGGGGCGGCATAGAAATGTTAATAATCATCATCATCATCATCATCATCATCATCATCATCATCAGGCAAAGACCTTTTTATTTTCCCAGTATTTTAAAAATTAGCTGGTTTTACCCTTGTTTTAGGGACTGCAGGTGGCACAGTGGTTTAAACCGCTGTGCTGCTGGGCTGGTTGATTGAAAGGTTGCCGGTTTGAATTCGCAGATGGGGTGAGTTCCCGTTGCTCCGTCCCGGCTCCTGCCCACCTTGCAGTTCGAAAGCATGCAAATGCAAGTAGATAAACAGGTACCACTTCAGTGGGCAGGTAACAGCATTCCGTGCACTTCGGTGTTTAGTCATGCTGGCCACATGGCCACGGAGACTGTCTGCGGACAAACGCTGGCTAGGAAACGGAGATGAGCACCACCGCCTAGAGTCAGGCATGACTGGACTTAATGTCAAGTGGAAACCTTTACCTTTTACCCTTGTTTTTATTACTATTTTAGATGCAGTGTACTTTTTTTAAAAGATGTGTTGCCATTGTTATGGGTTCTGTTTTGTTGGTTCGCTCTCTGTAAGCCACCCAGAGACTTTTTTAGTAATTGGGACAGCATACAAAAATTTAAATAAAAAATACTCCCTCAGGTGCTTTCAGATTTGGGTTTGACAAGTGCAGCTGTAACAGTCACGATCCTGCCCACGAGAGGTAACTGAGCCCCATTGGTGAGGGTGTTCAAGGATAGTCTGGACATGCACACGGTAGGCATGTCATGGGTGGAGCCAGCTGGAGCCAGGGGTCAGACTAGATGGCCCAGGAGGACCCTTCTGACTCGCGCTGTTTCTATGTTTTTATGATTCTGTCCTGTCCAACGTAATCCTCCCACACTCCCTGCTGTTTCCCTCATCTTTTCCCCTATGCAAAAAAATCCAATGGGGAGAGAAAGAGCAGAATAAAAGCACAATCTGAAAAGGAAAATGTGTGACCGACACAAAGTGGGAGGAATTCCCCGGGAAAGGCGCGTGAGGTCCTGGGATCTCACTCTCCTCTCTGTCCCTGGACTCGAGTTTCCAGCTGCAGGACCATCTGGCAATTCCTCTCCACCTGCGTTTTGTTCCATCTCAATTATCTGCCTTCCAACTTAATTTTATTTTCACAGAAACTGTAAATAATGCATTTCATGTCACTTAAAGCAGCACCCACTTCTTTCCCTCTCCATACGGCTCTCCGTGGGCCATTCATTGATGGCTTCCTGAACTTCTCTCTTTCCGGGAACAAAGGCTGGTGCATTCCCCCACCCCACCACAATTAGCAGCTCAGGGATTCTGCCATTATATAATTCTGATTGGGTGAAATAAAGATACTGGGGAAAATTAAAAATGGCGGTGCTTTATGAGTCAGGAGGAGGTGATCTGAGGCCCCTGGCAAAAGGAGAAGTTCAGGCCCCACTCACAAACAGGAAAAATGAAACCGGTGAATGCTCCATCGGCATTACGGCTGGAACAGGGCGGGCCGTGGACATAACTGCATCAGCTGCTCTGATAAGAGGCAGCTGTGAAACAGGACCTGGGAATGCTTGTGGAAGCCGGGGCCAAAAAGGACTTCAGGATGCCAACGGATCCTCGTTTCTTTCATAGCAAGCAAGGCCTTTTGCGGACAAACAGGCTCCACATTATACATTTGTATGGGTCCAGAAAAAGGCTGCTTGAGTCCCGAGGAGTCTAGCCAGGGAGGGTTTTGTGCACCGGATGTCCAATTCTTTAGGAGTCTCTCCGGTGAATGCTCCATCAGCCACGGCAAACGAGATTGTCATGCCACGTACGCAGGACAGGACAGCCGTTATGCTCCAGATATGTCAAGGTTAGGACACCAAGCCAGATGTGTCCAGTTCACTCATCTACAAAGCACGGGAGGAAGAACAGAACTGGAAGATCGCCACTCCAGCTTTGCCACCTCCCCGCTCCCAGAAGCTGCTGCAACGGCTCTTTCCCCGAGACAAGCGGGTTTACTTGGAAGAAGGCTGCTGGAATGAGCTGGGGAAGAGCCATTGCTTGGCTCTGGGCAGCCCTGGGCAGCCACCAGGCAGGTCTTCCACAGCCCCGTGGCAGATAAACCGTTGCAGCCCTCGCGTGCTCACTGGACTCGGCCAGGTGCTCACCCTCCGGCCCGTACGCCTCCAAGCAAGCTCACCTGAGGATGGACTGGTGTTGTGGCCAGGAGCAGCAGGCCTGGCACCAGATCACCACCTGGGTGAGCACAGCTGAATAAACAGAATAGATTCTCTTCTATCTATAATAGAAGGTATTACAGCCAGAAAGCACAGAAGCTCCATTTCCTAAAATTGTATCTACCTTTGGACATTTGAACGACGCACAGAGGACTCTGGTGCTGTCTTGTGTTGTTACATTGCACAATGAAGTGTTACGCTTGGAAAGGCAATAAAAATTAGTATTAGAAAAGAAGAGACTAGCTTCTCCATGCTTGGGTAGAAAACTATACCCAGGCCTCAATTCCGAGGACCCCAGCTGCTGTGGGAGTCCTAACTGAGACAGGAGAGTCCTCTCTTGGAAGCCCTGTTGATTCTGAGCCTGGTTGGAAGGGGGCTTAGAAGTCGCCCATCCAGGACAGCAGGTGGCACATTTCTCGAGCAATCGCAGTCATGACGCATCATTGCTCGTGTGTGGATATAAATTAGCATGTGGAAATGTTACGCAAATCCCCATCCTGATAGCCAAGACTCTTTAGCACCCCACCTTTAGCACACCTTGGTCAGGGAGGTTTGAGAAAAAGATCAGGTAGTTGCTGACAGGACCAGTGGGGACTGATGAGAGCCCATTCTTTTATTAATGGAAGCATTTAATTGGCTTTTGCTGCTACGTCTTTCAAACCATCCAGGAGAAGCCATGTATCAGCAGCCGTGTTGTGTGGGAGCAACTGATATTGTCCACAGTTGCGCGGTGTCAGGGGGCCTCCGCGAGGCTCCTGGAAGATTTCCTACCACGTGGCTCTAAAAATAGGAAGCGGAATCCACTGCTTTTCATTCCCTCCTCCTTGGCAGAGGTGGCTGACCTTTGCAAAGCCACTTGCTCATGTGGGAAATCTCGGACAGGGCGCAAACGTTAGGCCCCATCCCCAGTCCCCGGCGGGATGCAGCTAGCGCCGCTCCGAGGGCGAGAAAGGGCCATCAGGCCAGCATCTGTGAGCAAACATGTCCCTCTGGTGCAGCTCTTGACATGGAGAAAACGATAATTCCTGTCGTGCATCATTTCCAGAAGCAGTCCTCCCTCAGCTTCACTGGCTTCCCATCGAAGTCCGGGCCCAATTCAAGGTGTTGGCAATCACCTATAAAGCCCTTAACAGCTTGGGAACTGGATACCTAAAGGAGTGCTTACCTCCAGATATGCCCTCCCGCCCCTTGAGATCGGCAGCAGAGGCCCTCCTCCGGGAGCCCTCCATGAAGGATATTAGGAGGGTGAGTACCCGGAGGAGGGCTTTCTCTGCGGTGGCGCCCCATCTATGTAATGCGCTCCCCAGAGAGGTCCGCCTGGCGCCGTTGCTATTTGTTTTTCAGCGCCAGGCTAAGACCTTTTTATTCAAACAATATTTTAACAACATGTAATACTGATAGGTTTTAATTGTGCAGCCAGGGTGTTTCCAGGTTTTAACTGTATCTGCATTATATTTATTTATTTGTGTGAGCCGTCCCGAGGCTATATAGCAAGGGGATGGCATACAAAAACTCTAAATAAATAAATAAATAAATTCCCTGGGCAGGATGGCCAGAAGCAAAGGAGACGGGTCCCACAGCTGCCCGCATGTGAAGCCAGAACACTGATCTGCCCGGGCCCGAACGGTGGTGATTTCTGGCGCTGGGGGTCCAGGGTTCCAGAGGAGACGCTTTCCAGTCCTACCCGGAAGGGACTGATCCAGGGGCTTCTGCATTTCAGGCACATGCCGTGCCCTGGAGCCATGGGCCTTCCCAAAGAGGATGCCACGGGGGAACAGCATGGGGATGCCAGAATCCATCCGCCGTCCGTGGCGTTCCCATTAGGCTCCCGCTGCGAAGCCGCCTGGCGTGGCACTGCTCCGGCCTTGCCTCCTCTCCAGTCGACTTCCCCCGGGGGCAGCTCCTTCTG